CTCCCACGCTGATTTTGCCCTTTGAAGAGGCCTGGGCCGTGCAAGTGAAACCGGGCCGAGCGCTGGGGCGGTGGAGCTGCGCTCCACACAGCGCGTGGGGGCAAACGGGGGCGACCCGAGTGCGGGACTCCAGTAAACGGAGCCTACTCTGCGGGCGACGGGGCCATTTTTAAGCCTGGAGAATCTTACAGCGTGGAAATTTTGTTTTGTCTTTTATTGTCTGGTGTGATGCATCATATCCATGTTGCGTCTTCCATGCGTGTTCTCCTTCTCAATTAGTGCTGTCCTCGGGAGACTGTCACCTGGAGCAGTGCGAGGGGCGACGGGCTGCAGCCCGCATAGGAAAGGGCTTCGCGGGAGCGCATGCACGACCTCTTAATATACCCGTTATTCAGTAAAGCTGAATAAATTATACATAAGCAAAAGTACTCTGCCTCCAGCGGCCAGCCCATTAATACAGACCCGTAGTCAGGAAGGCTCCCGTTAGGAGAGCGGGATGAGGCAGACGCAGGTGCCGTGGTTGCTGAGACGGGCTCCGTCCCCGCGGGCGACGCCGCTGCTGACCTCGCCGAGCAATCGCAGCAGCAACTGTCAGACCAGCCAAGGGGTTCGCTTAGTTACCTCCTAATTACTGACTTAGGCACCACGGTTCTTTATGAAAGGGGTCAGGTCTGTTCGATTCCATTGTTACGGTTCTTCAAGGCAAAGAATACAATTAAAGGCAAAGGGAATTTTCCTAAATGATTAAGGTTTAATTCATTTGGTCCCAGGAATTAATATGCTTGTAACTACATTAGCTAGAATTTGAAGGAGGTTACACAGATGTTTGCATTCAAAACAACAAACCAAATCAGCCAGAATTTCCAGTCGTGTGTGTTGTTATGCAGTGCTGTGGTGGAGCTGAGTCCAGGTTATTCTGTTTCTGCTCACTTGGTGCAAAATCAGAGCATCCTTTGGAGCAAACGGGCGTGAGGAATGGCGCTCCTGCCCTGCTTTCCAACGCTGCGCCGGGCCCGGCGCTCCAGGAACGCCTCGGCCAGCCTGGCAGCGAGCGGTGACGCAGGACCGTTCCTGCAGTAATTCCCCTTGTTAGGAATCCCCGCTCCGTGCCAGCCACATTCCCACCAGAACAGAAATCTGCACGAGATAAGTTACCGGGGCTGTGCATACACCATACTATATGTTATTGTACAGGATAATCACTGATAAAAGATGTCATATTTTGCACCATACAAGAGAACTGCAGCAAAATGGAAACTACATAGGGTTCTTTTTTAATACAATCCTATAATATGGCTCTTACTCTTTATTACACCTGTTTCTCACAGGTCTTTTATCCCAGCTATTGCAGTAACCGCTTAGGAATCTTTGCAAATAGTCTCTCCCTGTGGCTAAATTTTGAAAACTGTGCTTAAGGAAAGTCACATCTGTTCATTTCCTGCCCTTTTTTTTTTTTTGTGCAACATTTTGAATATTTATCCCTTCAGGTTAGCATTTAAAGGAGAGAATTAAAAAAAAAAAGTCTCATGAGGGAGATGTGAACTGGAATCCAAGCACCCCGATTTGGGCAGATAAAAAGGCACTTAGCGCGTGGGATATTACAGGGCATATTCATCAGCCTGCGGTTTCGCTCGTGCGTCAAGGCCAGCGCTGCTGCGTGCGTTACAGTCGGAATAACCCCGTTTTTGCGTTCCGGTGGGCGTTGTGGCAGCGAGGGCAGGTGCCGTGTGCTGCCGCGAGCCCTGTCCCGGCCCGCGTGGCCACCCCTGCTCATCCTCTTGTCCCATCGCGCCTGCAGCTACAGCCTGACAAAGAAGCCAAGGGCTTTGGGCTGGCCTGGCTGAATTTTACTTCACCCCTAAAAAAACCACCCTAAACACCCTTTATTTTCTCTCGGTTGGGTTCAAGCTGTTTTGGGTGTTTTTCCAGCTTTGGAGTTCAGCCACTTAAAGAAAAATTCCCTCCTTCACTTAGGTTTGCGTTACAAGTTTTCAGAGCTATACTGCAATTTCAAGTAGGTTTCAAGGGAGGTAAGATGTGACCATGGTGTAAACTCCTAGCGCACTTCATGTTCTGACATTCTGTATTTTAAATAACAGTGTACAGAAAATGTAAATTCAAGCGGTGAAATGCATTAAATATAACATTGCAGTTAAATTTTCAGCAGGGTTCCTTGACTGCATCTGAACTATTTGAAAGCACATTGGGTTTTTGAGCACAAAATGAATAATTTCGCAAGTAAATACCGGTTTTGCATCTGTGCCTTCACCCATGCACGTACCTGTTTTCTGAGTGTGATTATGTGCGCCAGCAGTGTTTATTCGTACAAGTCTGGTTCGAGCACGCAGACACAAAAACAAGCAGCGTAGTGGCAGAACCGCCGCGCTGACCCACCAACGCGTTCTGGGCGCTGCTGAAGAGCGTGCCTTGTTCAGAATTGCCATTTGTTTATGCGAACAAGCGGTAAACTGCTCGCTCCCTGTATGGAGATGTCCCTTCCTCATTACACAAGGAATTCTTTTCTTGTCAAGCACCTCGGGCTCTTGGAGGAGCCTGAACACCCGAGTGGTGACTTGGAGGCAGGATCTGTGTTTTATTTCACCTGAGGAAGGTGCCATGGAGCGCCCCGCTCCCTCCTGCAGCCCTCCAGCCCCTCGGCAGCGCGGGGCTGTGGGGAGCAGCGCGACGCGGCTGCGCCCGGCGCGTCCGGCAGGGTCAGCACCTCTGCTCCGGCTGCAGCTGCACGCGGGGCCTGGAGGAGCAGGGGGAACACGTCGAGAGTGCACAGAACTACCCGCGTTCCTCAGCTTGAGGATTGCAGCTGCGTTTTGTGCTTTGGATTTTCAGGTTTGTGGTTAAAAATAGAGCTGGAGCTATATGAGAATATCGTCAGGAAAGCAGGAGCCTCTCTCTCCGAGGATCGCTGGGAGAGGAGCGGCTCTCTCCGAGGATCCCTGGGAGAGGAGCGGCTCTTTCCGAGGATCCCTGGGAGAGGAGCGGCTCTCTCCGAGGATCCCTGGGAGGGGAGCGGCTCTTTCCGAGGATGCCTGG